ATGTACACTCAAGTAGCTTACTTTATCATGAATGTATCATTTCATCACCACACAGCATTAGAAATACAGTTAGCCCTCCATATTTGCCAGGGTCAGTGGCACAAGACACCTTGTGATTGGAAAAAAGTGAATATAGGCCCTCTTCTTGTAACTTGAGAGAACACTTCTGTAGGCATTTGTAATTCTTGTAGTGTGATTCTGTAGTTAATTTCCTCCAGGAGTAATAATTATTACCTGGAGGGAAATCATCATCATTATCATCATAATCCCTGAAGGAGAATCAAAATCCTTCAAAATCATACTGGAGGACTTACAAATGCCTACAGAGAACATATTTTGTCAGTCCCATATAGGGCAACAGACGTGGTGGCAAATACATCATCTGTGATTATTTAATCTGCAAATTTGGAAGAACAACTGTACACATATTTATACACTATCAGTACAGGATTTTCTTACCAGTATTATTGCATGCCATGAAATAGGATTATGTTTCTATTAAATATTTATATCTATTTTGTTTGTTTCTGTGTATTACTGAAGTGACCATTTACTTATGTACAACACGCTACTTAATTGTGAATATGGGGTATGCTTTGTAATGGACCTTTTTTTGGTCGTATTTGTGGAAAAATGTCAGTAGTTGGATTGCAATTGAGTTGTTTGTTATGTTGGTTGTGTATTTCCATACAGCCATTTGGGTTTTCATTTTCTGTGGTAGGCAGGACATCTGTGTCCCCCGATAGACACATTAGTCACAACTGCGATGTCCATATATTTCAAGTACAGTTTTATATTCTTATTTTCCTCGTGGAATGCGTGTACTTGTGTAAATAGATTTAGATTCTCAAACTATTGATTTTTTTAAAATCTTAGTCAGTTAGTGAAGTATGTCTGAAAAAAAACTGTTCTGCTAGATTCAGAGGGAAATCAGATGGGGATATTACACTATAAATGCCGTTGGTACGTGATGCAGTAGACTTTTTTTAAAAAGCAATCCGTATGACATATTACTTTTCTTTATTTCTTTGTCCTCATTTCATGTCTTCAGGCATGAAGATGCATATCCTATTACAGTATAATGTAGATCTTTATCCACTGAAAAATGGTATGGCACTTCCATGTTACTAGTCAGTCATCAAAACATTTTTATCACTTCTAGTATTCTGTAGTATATCACATTCTCCCCCTTTTCCTGAGAAGGTTGGAAATAGGCTTCTTTCTCTTAGATTTAATAGCAAGGGGATTTGTACTGGCAGACCCCACTTCACTGAAGAAATTGTGGAAGTAGCTTTCCTACAAAGCATCAGATTAGGAACAACTGTTATGATGTACAAAATTATGAATAAGAAGTATTCATGCTAAAACATATTTTAAGCAGATATAGAAGCTTGCTTCTGTTGTAGTCCAGAACGCTTTATCCCAGCTCTGAAGTGCTTTTTTCACCTTATGGCCAGGAGAAAATGGGCTTCCTCCAATTCCAAAACCTTTAGACTTGCTTTTTCTATTCTCTTGAGTGTTTTGAAAAACCAGAGCAACAACATTTTAGATTCTAATGTTTTTACAAATATAGCATTGCATACCTCCAAATGTTCTGGAGTTTGCTTTCATTCTCCCCTAAAAGTATGTCATGAAATTATGTCAGGTGTCTTACTGCATAGTGTGTCAAGCATAGCAGGAACTTATTAAAAAATAAACCTGTGAGCAATCTATGTCCTTGTCTCTGTCTTGGTTGATTGTTCCTTGTGTTCACAGTGGAAAGTGAAACCCAGGAGAGGTTCCTCCTGGACAAAGTGGGAGTAAACCATTTTTACTATTTTCTCCTATAGTCATGTTGTTCCTGAGGGTTACTCTAACTTTCAGAGCATCTTCTCAGAAGAGTCAAAGTGTGATCTTGAATGACTCTTACTTCCTCAACCCTTTTCAAACTGGCTTCAAAGCAGGATATGGAGTTGACCTGTGTAAAGAATAATATTGTAACCCAGCATCAGTTCTAGTTAAGTATAAATGAATTGCTTTGCACAATAATTCTGTGAAATATGAACTTTAAAATACATATATGGATGCGTGTTTCAGAAATTAGATTACACTGTAACAATTTTTTTTAAAAAGCTCCTTTTGGTTTGAAAGTGTTGTTTCCTGTTTAATTGTGAGGTACTTACTTTGAAAGTGGTTATTATACTCCAGAACTTCATTTTTGTGGCTGGCACAAACTATGTTGAATTCGTGGAGACTCTATGAAATATTCATTGAAAAACTATAGCAAAATGTGCTGTAGGATGTCCTGCAAAAACTAGTTTTTGCAGTTTAATAAACTTTCCCATTTTTTAATGATAGAACCAATTAGGAAATGACATTTATAACCCAGGAACAAAAATTGTGTTACATAGTGTTATGGGTCTCAAACATGGTCAGGAGGTGTCAGGATCACGAGTGTAGATTTTAAACTCATGACTTCTCAGACTTTTTGCAATGGTTAAACAGAGAGGAAGTGATAATGCTGTAAAGCTAGCAAACCACAGAATGAGGAATGGAAAGAGATGTCCACAGTCTCATTCCATGGCAGAATGGGGATTGATTCATTTTGAAAAATTAGCAATATGTATGTATGGCTGATTCAATCCTCATTTTCATTAATGCAGATTTCTGAAAACACACTGTAGTTAATTTTCATGATTTTTAATATTCACTCTCACTTTGTCCTGTGCCCTTTTCATTCTTGTGAATGAAATTTTTAGATAACTGATACATGATACCAGTCCTAAAGGCAGCCTGAGCTGAACTCTTATTGCAAATACATGTTAATACACTGACAGGTGACTTTTACTGTGGCTAGAACTGGCTTCTGGAGACTTTATCATGGCTTTATGGAAGACCTGTGTTAGTTCTTGCTCTGATAAATGTTAACCTGTAACTCAGACCTTCCAAACATTTCATGTTAATGACACACCTTTTAAATATATATCATTTTGCACAATCCCTCGCCTAGTCCTTTTATAGTTGATCAGCTCCATTTTAGTACTCCTGGCCATTGGTATTGTTGAACCTCGCCTGATGGAGCGCCAATATAATTGGTTTTATATATTTGTTTTTAGTGTGTTTTATCAGGGTTTTTGTATTTTATGATGTTTTTATTTTTCACTATTTTTATGTTACAGTTAGGTTGTTCTATAGTCTCTAATGTTCCTTGTCCTGATGTAAATTGTTTGCATGGTTTTCTCTTCCCATTGATTGTTTGTCATATTTGTTAGAATCTGCCCTGAGTCCCTTTGGGGAGATAGGGTGGTCTATAAATAAATTATTATTATTATTATTATTATTATTATACTATTATTTCACAACACAATAATTTAGTTTTGCTGGCAAACCAGAGGTCAAACCAACTCTTTATAAGAGATATGGACACATACATAAATTGTAATAATGAAATGCGTGGGGGCACAACATATCTCATGAAAACCTTTCATTTATATATTAAAAATACATGATTTATTAGGTAATAACATACTATTCCAAGATTTTTGTCATTTCTGATTATGTTTGCATGACACATCTACACACTGTTGCATCACACAATGTGGAAAGCTCTGCTGTAACTGTTATGATAGCATCATAACAAATGCTATGGAAAGCATACAGCGATACAGCACCAAAAATGTTATCTTTCCCAAGACTAAACATTTTCCCCAACTAAAACATCTGCCCTGTTTTAACAGCAAACGTCTTTGTAGCTAGAAATGTTAACTTTACAGAAAATTTGAAGCCACGGAAATCTTATTTCCTGCACCCATTTTATGGCAAACTATCTATATGCATAGGCATATGCACCCCCCCCCCCACACACACAGAGGATTTTTAATCGTCCTATAGTAACAAACATTTGGGGTTTTTTTCTTCAAAAAATGTGCAAGAATTGGTTTGATGTTAAAAGTTCCAAAACTAAAAATAAAGTATTGCATAATCCACCCCCCCCCCCCTCCGGGGGAAGGCTTCATGGTGCTTTTTCCGACTCACATCCTCTTCTGCCTGGAACCTTCATATTTCTGTTTGTGGCTGCAAATAATCACAACCTCACCTTCCCATATCAGATAGAAATTAACTAGGTAGAGATTGGGGAACAGGTCTGACAGAATTCATAGACACATGATTTTTCTCTACAGCTATCAGAAGCATAGTGGCTGTACTCCGTTTTCTTTAATCTGAATCAGCAGATGTCTTGATTCGCAAGTCAAATAGTGTATGAAGGACTACATATAAGGCTTCCCTTATGCATTGGCTCAGTGTCGGTGGTGGAAAGGAATCAAGCTGTAGCCTATCGGCTCTGAAGCCATTGCTTCATCTTGTATTGAAGTACCATGTACACATTATTTCCTGTGACAGCATTACATTTATGTTAAAACTCGCTTGACATTTCAGGTTTGTACACATCCTGAAGTAGATTTTCCAGTTCAGTATCTGGAAATTTTGCAATTTGTTACCAGTGTGGCTTCCCATGGAGTACAGAAGCAATACAGGTTCTTCAAGGTGCTATCCTGCTGCAACAGGGAGTTGAGAGTACCTTTTGAGATGATAACCAGTTTCCAGAAGATTGCATTTGGACCTTGAAATGATTTTTAGGAGTGTCATACTCGACTTCGAACCCTTCCCATGCTACTTTCATTAACCAGTGATATTTCTGAGCCAATGCACATGATACAGTATTTTCCAAGTACATCTTATCTTCTCCCTCCCCTGCCTGCTTCCATTTTAAGATTTTCATGGCCTTGCATGTGATACTTGCTCACTGGCTATTTGAACTGTATTCTTTATCCCTCAGAAAAGAACCATAGGAAGTAGCATGAAATCTTGGTTTAGCAGTGTACAACTTGGGTGTTCTCTGGCATTTCCAGTCATGCTTTCTTACATCAGAAGGAAAATAATATGCTGTTAAAAAGCTAATTGCATTGCTTGAGAGATCCTCTGTTGTCTTGCTAATGGCTGTCTTGTTTTCCTCTCCCCAGTCAGGTCAGTTCAGTGAAGATATGATTCCTACAGTGGGCTTCAACATGCGGAAGGTTACCAAGGGTAACGTCACAATAAAGGTACGTATTTTCATTTTTGTGAAGGCTTAATACACTGAACTGTAACAAACTCTGTAAAAACTGATGAAAGGAGCTCAAGCTAAGCTCAGAAAGAATAAAGAGACTCCTCCATTCTGTTTTCAGTAGCCTGCTCATTCATTTATATTATCTGTAAGGCTTCAAGCACTTGTGAGAGCACAGCACACAATACACAGAGTTCAGGGGAGAGAAAAGGCATTGTCCCATTCTCTACAAGCCATGCTCATTCAATCATTATAAATAATTAGTATTTTGGATTGCTGTGATCCTGGCTGTATGGCCATGTTCCAGAAGCATTCTCTTCTGACGGTTCACCCACATCTATGGTAGGCATCCTCAGAGGTTGAGGGGTCTGTTGGAAACTAGGCAAGTAAGGTTTATTTATATATCTGTGGAATGTCCAGGGTGGGAGAAAGAACTCTTGTCTGCTTGAGGTAGGTGTGAATGTTTCTGTTGGCCACCTTGATTAGCATGTAATGGCTTTGCAGCATCAAAGCCTAGCTGGTTGCTGCCAGGGGGAATCCTAAAAGAATTCATTTTTTTTCAACAAGACCTCATCTAGCGGCAAGTCTTTGGCCATTGTCACACACATTATCACACACACGACCAGAATCACTTCCCATCACAAGATGTCATTCTACAACCACCCCAGACCAGTCTGCAACTCATATTGAAGGAATCGTTTTCCAAAAAGGGGGAAACCTGATTTTAGGTGGCTGAAATGGCTTTTAATATGTGTTAAAAGTATTACATTCAAAAATACTTCCCAAATGCTCCCCATGAACTTTTCTCCTAGACTTGGAGGTGGTGTTGGGTTGGAGAGAAACACCTCAACTAAAGATTGTAAGAGATGGGCAGACTTGTATAGGGGGTACAGGCTGATTTTGACCTAAGCTTTATAGGTCAAACCAAGCATTTTGAATATTACTGTGTATTGTGACCCATTTGCATTGCTTAGAGAATTCAGAAACCAACAGTTGTAGATGTCTTGACAGGACCTGTCATGTTACAGTAGAGGTAATGACAACAGGAAAGCTGCTGTGTTGCTCCTCTTCTCAGACATCTCCAATTTCCAGATCTATTGAGTTATCTTTATGAGTTGATATTCAGCCTTAAAATAATCTCTCTCTTCTTTGTTTAAAGATCTGGGATATAGGGGGACAGCCACGATTCCGAAGTATGTGGGAGCGCTATTGCAGAGGAGTAAATGCTATTGTGTAAGTGCAAACATCTTCGGGTTACTTAGAGTTGACTAATGTCATTATATTTATGTTTAATGTTTCAGTTTGTTCCTGTTCTGTATTCTCATATATAATTGTTGAGTGGTAAAGTTTATACTGCAAACAGTGCAGATTTGGGCTGTTAAATGCTCTCAGTGTTACTCTTGACAGGCCATAGAAAAGTCTGCCAAGTAGCATTTATTATAAACTGTTGAGCAATTTCAAAGTTTGCTCAATACAAACCTGAAATTCTGAAGTACTGTAATGTACATTGCACTTGTGAATCAAGAACAAGCTACAGCCAGTTCTGCTCTTCAATTTCAGGTTGGACTGTTTTGAAACAAAGCACAGTATGTGCTAACCATGGTTCTTCTGGTTTGGACAAAACAACAAACCAAAATAAAGCAAAATTTCCCAAATTTATGCCCACATGAAAGGAGGAGGAAGGACAGACAGCACATGAGCCCTAGATTCACTGCCACTTCTTTTTATTGTCCTTCATTTCGGTTCATATGACATCTGAACAAACCCAGTAGAGGTGTTTAAAAAAAGCCCCAAACATCTATGGCTGTCTGCTTTACATGTAAACATAGTAGGCTGCATAACTACAGAACCTTGATATCTACAATATAATAATAATAAATAATAAAACTATTTCTAGACCGCTCTCTTTCCCCAAAAGGTGGTTTACACACAGAAAAAAGGGTGGTGGAGGCTCTTTCTTTGGAAGTTTTTAAACAGAGGCTGGATGGCCATCTGTCAGGGGTGCTTTGAATGCAGTTTTCCTGCTTCTTGGCAGGGGGTTTGACTGGATGGCCTATGAGGTCTCTTTCAGCTCTATGATTCTATGAAACATTCAATGCCCAAAAGAATACAAAATTGTGACTGCTGTTTTTGGACTTAAAAGTAGCTCAAACAGTGTAGGTTTGGAAATCATCTTAATGTTTGTATTGAGTGCAAAACAGTCTATGATAAGAAAAGGGAAATACTGAATTTGTAAGTTGCAAAGCTACACAATAATATATTGCCAGACAGTACAGAGAAATGTCTTGGCAGGCTCTAATTCTAATTTTGCCTGCAGATATTACTTTGGATTTTAAAAAATGTGGCTTGTTGTGGTAACAAGGATTGGTGAGAAAGCTTCAGTGGAGACATCATTTCCCCATGATAACTCTTCCAGGAGTGAATTTCCCTTTCGAAGGGTAGATTTCTCTCACTTCCTGTTGCCTCACCCCCATTTGTAACTATGAGTCATTTGTAAGTTGGGTGTTTGTATCTTGGGGACTACCTGTACATGTGAAATCCTGAAGGTATTTCCTATGGATACAGGGATCATAATGTCATGTTGTGCAACAGAATAGGAAGTGCTGTAGCCTCCAAATAGTGTTAGACTGCATCTCCAGCAACTAGGCAGCACAGCCAATGTTGAGGAATGCTGGAAGTGCCAGTCTAACATTTGTTGGACTACATGATCCCACATGAACAAGATTATTCAGTAGTACCCTGGCAACGTCCAGCTACTTGGAATGTTAAAAACATATTCTAATAGGTTATGCAGAATCATAAAGTTCCAAATCTTACTTGCTTCTGTGAAGTTACTGCTGGTGACATTTGCATGGCTTTGAATTTTTTCATATTTGTTCACTATTCTACTTGATAGTCACTGCAGAAGCTAAAGACAAGCACTAAAGAAGGCTATCCGGTTTAAAAACCTAGAGTCACTGGTCTCCATAGATGTTGACACAATGCCAGATATACGGTCACAAATAAATGCAGCCTGGTTGAAATGATGGCAAACTACTGGCATTCTGTGTGACTCAAAAATGCCCGAACAACTCAAGGCTAAGATCTACGCTACAGTTCTTTGCCCAGTAGCCCTCTATGGGGCAGAGTGCTGGCCAACAACAAAGGAACATGAACAAGCCCTTAACACAATGGAAATGAAAATGCTGAGATGGACACTTGACGTGACACTTCTTGACCATGTGCCAAATGATGAAATACATCAAACACTTGGAATAAAAACGATCTGAAAGAAAATGCAGAAAACAAGACTACGGTGGTATGGCCATGCCATGAGAAGGGAACCAACTTCAGTAGCGCAAACAGCACTACATTAGGAGATCATAGGATGACCATGTGGGTGGCCAAAGAAAAGATGGATGGACGCCATAAAGACATGTGTGCTGCCAACCTGAGACCCAAGGATGCCCAAAACATAGCCCTGTGGAAACGACAGTCACCGTGCTAACCCCTCCATCGGAAAAATAGCTTAGAAAGAAGAAGTCACTACAGAACCTCTAGTGATTGAGGGGAAATGTTTATTTTGCTTTGATTTGGAAAGTCTGTTGCATTGAAATTTAGTGTCTCCAAACCTGGCCACTAAAACAAATTCCTTTTAACAGGTATATGGTAGATGCTGCAGATCGTGAAAAAATAGAAGCATCTAGGAATGAGCTGCACAATCTACTAGACAAACCGCAATTACAAGGAATTCCTGTGAGTAGTATACCTCTGGTTCTGCATATAGTTATTATGGCGAAGAGAGATGAAATATCCTTGAAAGAAATTTGACCTTGTGTTAATAATAGTCATACCCACACCTACTTTCCACTTTTTCTGGCTCTGTCTATTCCACATTGATAAATATATCTTTGATGGGCAGTTAGTCTCATAAAGTTGCTAAATTGGGCCTATTTACTTAAATAAAATTGATTTATAATTAATTAATTCAATATTTCTACTTGTCCTGTCACAACCATTGAAATCCTTTAAAAAACAGGTGAAACAAGTGAAGTCTCCTTGAAAACAGTATAAAATGCTTAATACAATTTAAAGCCAAGCCAAAAAATACAGCCCTGAAAACCAGGTAGAAGGTTTTCTCTCTCCAAGCTAACCAACAAATGCATTACCTTTGTACTGTTGTAATATGAGATGTGGTTTCCTTACTGATGGTGCCGTAGAATGAACTGGTCATGACAGAATTAGATCTGTAGCCGAGGTTTGTCTTGTTCTACAAAAAAGGTTAAAAAGATAAATAGTAGTGTGAGGATGTGGGTTGCCTCTCAATATAGTGCAGCTTAGAGTGGCATACTCATATTTTTCATCTGTTAGTAGTGGACTAAAGTTTGGTCACTGCTGTTTTAAGGTAATCATTTAGTTCAGGATGGACAGCTACAGTGGATATGGATGCCAATTTTGGTTTCACAGACACATGGAGGGAAACACTCTTGCATTTTTACTTGGTTGGGTGTGTGTTTGCAATGAAGGGCTTTGGGGCAGCCTGCAGTTTCTTCCTCTTTTATCTAGATATGACATCATTAAATTTTATTTCTTTCACATGACTGCTTTGTTTGCTCTGTATGCATGTTTTGCAAGAAAGTGGTTTATGTTTTGTGTTACTTGGTAGGTCAACTGTTGCCTTCCAAAGATGAGGCAAGATAAATGCATTTATTTTGGCTTTTTCAGGTTTTAGTACTTGGAAACAAAAGGGACCTCCCTAATGCTTTGGATGAGAAGCAACTTATTGAAAAAATGTAAGTGATTTGATTAAGAAAATATTTATTAAGATGCTCTGTGCCAAGTTTTCCAACTCTAAATGTAATTTTGCTAATCTATAAACCTGTTGTGGAGACCAATTTCACATGGCCTTGTGGCTCTTTGGAAGAAAGGGATGAGCGCTCCCATAGATTAGAAGTAATTATTCTGGTTAATTGTAATAGGGATTAGCATGCCTTCAAATTAAGCAGGGTGCTGTCAGTTGTTACCAACTTGGCTTGTGTGTGTTTTCTCTTCCAGGAACTTGGCTGCTATTCAAGACAGAGAAATCTGTTGCTACTCCATTTCTTGCAAGGAAAAGGACAACATAGGTAATTAAATGTCAGAAAAGCCAGCTGACATGGATAGTGTGAAATTGGATTTTTATTAGGGCTCTGCTTTCAGTGATTTCTCTTTGCTTTCAGGCATTTAGCAGAATTTTGCTGGCATGAGCTCTAATAATACTTTTACTCAAAACTTGTTCTGAGTTTGTATGTAGCACAGTGCTTGTGGAACTGAAATTCACATATGCTATTTGGGACTCACCCATATTAGTTTAAAAGACTTTCCTCTCTAGGAATTTGCTAGGAGAGACTATGCTCACGTCCAGCAAAAACATACTGTACTAAAAAATTCATAAGAGATACCTCAGATGCAGGTTGATGAAATCACAGCTACGGTTCCTGCAGGTATTGAGGATGAACTGCATCTTTTTTTAATACCTCATATAACTCCCATAGTGGGAAGGACCTGGCTTTCCTAATGCAGTTCTAAGGTTGTGATGGAAGGATTCATCCTTGGAAACAAATACCACTGAAGCCAGTGTAGACTGTGTCCAGATGAATACATAGTAAGATGCACCTAACTATATAAACTGTTTCAATTTTTCTTTATTGTTAGTAATTTTGTTGCGAAAACAGCTTTTGGTCAAATGTGTTACATAGTTCGAAATGCATCTGTTGACCGAGAAATTCCTCTACTATAGAAATGCAAGCTGTTACAAGTAGATGAAGAAGCTTGCTACAGAAAGCCCTGTGTAATGAAAACAAGTCACCAGAGTATCAGAGTAAAATCTGCATGTCTAGCAATATGAATGGGAACTTGGCTTCCCCTAATAACCAATCTGAGAACAGTCTTTCCATTATATTTTTTGCCTTGCTTTCTTATTCAAGGAATAAATACATACTGTGTGAACTTTAACATCTAGAACCTATCTAGAATGTCTGCTGAGATGGTTAGAAGGCATTTTCAGAACTGGATTAAACTCTGCGAACATTGGTCTGCCTGTAGATGTGTAGGGTTGAGTTTATATTTTATTTAAGGCAGTGAAATATCTTGAAGATGAATGATCATTTTTCTCTTTTTCTTAGATATCACACTTCAGTGGCTTATTCAGCATTCAAAATCTAGAAGAAGCTGAAAAATCTAGAAGAAGCTGAAAAACTTACAGATAATTCCCCAGTTGGCCATATTCTCAATTGTCTACTCCCTCCATGATGAAATATTATCTAGGATAGTTCTCCTGTATCCAAGGAATTGCCTTTTTTCACAGTTCATGCCTCCATGTGCACTGCTGAATGACTTATATTCCTACTTCTGTCAAAAAAATGGATAGCGTTGTCATGAGTTGTGCAAATGTTTTTATTAAGTTCATCTCGAAACAGTGGCAGCGGGTGCCCCCTCTCCATGAAAGTTACTATTAAATCAAAGAGTGTCTGCTCTAAACTTCCTGAGCCAGGTTTTTATATTTGATTTTCAGAAAGCTAATTTAATTCTTGTATTTAGTGGCTCTTTGGAAGAAGCTGACACAGGGCAGCATGAGGGTATGGGCACTGTGTGTTGTACTTATAAAGCTTTTCAAACACTGTTTAAATGGGATACTAACTTTTCTCTCAGATGCATGTGATGTGTAGTGTAAAAAATGGTTTGCAATGGAAAGTATCAGGCACTATAGATATTAAATCACTAAATTATCCTGATTTCTCAAGTTATATTCACCCAGTGAATTAGAAAATGTCAGTTGTCAACTTTTTTGTATCTGTGCAGGCCGTTGCTAAGGAGTTTATATATGCTAATGTTCTTCAGGGGAAGTAGGGAACCAAGAGTACTTCAAAATATTGCTTTCAAGAGTTTTAAATACACAAGCAGGGAAAAAGTGAAATAACCCAAGACTAGACAAGCAGTCATACCATGTTCCTTAAATGCTTTGCAACGTTTGTATGGCTGGCATGACACTCCGGTGTCACACTGACCTCTGGCACAAAAAAATTACTTTCCGACTTGTCCTTCTGCTGATTGAATAGTTGTGCACAGTTGCATTTGGTGCTAGAAAATGCCTAGGCTATTGTGACAACTCTAGGCTCGCCTGCTTTTCTCAATGTGATATCATGTAGAAAATCCACAGACTATGAAATGTTAAAACTGTGTCTTGAAGCACAAGATAATCAATGAACTGATTGTGTTTCTTGGTCAGCTTTTACAGCATAGAGGTATGTGAACTATAAAAAAGACAACCCTGTAACACTACTTTTGTAGCTTTACCTTCTCGGCAGTGTCAATATCTTAAAGGGACAGACTTAATGAGGCTGGTTTTGTTTATACAAATAATGTTAATGTTGTCCGCTGTACTCATACAAATATACCGTATAGCTGCTTGCCTCAAACTGGGTTGTTTATTTTTTTAGGCAATCATCTGCATGTACTTTGAGGCTACATTTTTTTAGTCTTTGTACTCATTTGGTACATTTAGGGGCTTGTTCATATACATACGATCTAGTATGAAATTGTCTCTTGAAGATGAGCATTACTTACCAGAGTCGGAATCATGCAACCCTGCAGATGTAGTTGGACTGCAGCTCCCAACATTCATCACCCTATTTATTCTTACTTAAACCTGCTGGGAGTTACAGTCAGACATAATCTGGGGGCTGCTTCATTCTCATTCTTATACTCGACTTAACACTGCTGTACAGTTTTGTTCGCTATCCTCTAAGTATTCTTCTTCTAGTCTTACACAGAAGGTCTAATGTTGAGGTTCTCTGCAAAACAAAGAGTCATGCCTTTACAAAATGGTGCATGGAGTATTTTGTAAAAATGTGAACCAGTTCTGTTTGGGAAAAGCAAAGCAGGATACTACTGCTGCTGCTGAAGGCCTTGCCCAGTGGAACACATTTAAAGCGTTGCAGATATAATGTGTGAGACTTGTACAGTGAGCTATTGGACCAAGTTACCAACGTGCCCCAGGACAGCTGATTTTGATTTAAATACTGCCATGGCCTTACAATTCCCCTATAAAGTATTGCATTCTTGCACAGACATGAGTGTGGCCTCCATTTACAAATTGAGCTTGCGATTTTAATTTATCCTGTCTTGGTGCTGTAGAGACGGTTCAGTGACTTGCTGTAGTAGTTGTAGTTCATTTTGGGCAGCTACACTTAACTAGAGCATTTCTGCCTGTGCCTCAAAAGGAAATGAAGGAAGCTGAGCCGGGATGTCTTTACTTTTCCTGTGGGAACCAAATTACGGTTTAGGTGACCGGCTTGTTGTGTAATTTAATGTACTGAAGGTTTTTTGTGTATACTTCATAGCTTTCAGCATTTTGACATCCAAAAAACCACTACCAACTTTTTAATCTGTGCATTAATCTTGGCATGTGAAAAACTTATACATTTACCAAAATTTGTAAATATGTGATTTTTTTTATTTAGGTGGATTGCATTTTGTTGGTTTACTGCTGATTAGCTTATCCAATAAACTTAAGTTTTCAGAGTCATACTGGCATCTTATATCTAGCTTGACTTTACATCGTTGGTGTATGACTTTAATGTTATAAGAATACAAGCTTAAACTGGGCATTTTACTGAAACACATTTACTGTGCATATATCTGCTGGAAAAGACTGAAATGGAGAATATTCTGTCTTCAATGAAATCTAAACTGGGTGTATGAAACACGATCTTGCCAATTCTCTTGAACCAGGGGTAGACAGATAGGATGGTATAGGCTGTATTATCTTCATGCTTCCATTTCTAAAACATGTTGCAATAAATTAAAAGTATGCTCTAGGGCCAATGGGGACAATTTTGACATGTTTTTAAACCTCTTCATTGGTTTTCAACTCTGGTAAGTTCTTTTTTTCAATGAGAAAGCAAAGCAAACCTTGTTTTGAGACAAGGGAAAGATTTAAATTATATGGTTTTCCCCTCCAAAAATGAGGTGCCCAGGAGCCACAGACATATTTGAAGGTTGTGCATGGGCCCACTTTCCCCAGTCCTTCTTTAGACATTTCTCTGGAATGTATAATAGGAACCTGTGCCATTATTTGACAAACAGAATGCTTTCATTTTTTAAAAAAGGGTTAAGTATTTTGAAACAGAGGTGAGGTCTGGACTTAATTTCAAAAGCCCTTTCCTAGGTTTGTGTTCTTTATGAAGTGTGCAAGAAGCAGGAAAGAACAAACTTGTTATGCAAGTTTGGAACAATGATAAACACAAGAAACCTGAATTTCTTGACAAATTGTGCTCAGCTAAAAAATATCCAGTGACTATTTATCTTTAATGTTAAAACACGCCTTAGAGCAGGCATAGTTAAACTTTGGCCCAATTCCTATCAGCTGATATTCTATTAGGTTGTTAGGAATTGTGGGAGTTGAAGTCCAAAACACTTGAAGGGCTGAAGTTTGCCCATGTCTGCCTTAGAGAGTGCCTTGGGTTCAATGTTATAATTGCTTAGAGCTGTTGCAAAGATAATTGCCACAATGATGTCCAACATCGTGTAGGAAAGGGGAAATCTTTTCAGGGGGACTAGCAGTGCTTTACAGGCTATCATTTTCAGGAGGATTGGTTTAGACAACTGTTGTATTGAAAGCAAGTACAGATCAGTGTTGTAAATAATGTCACTCTCTTAGTGGTACTTTGAAGCTGAGCCATTTTCTGGGTGGTGTAGTGGGAAATGGCATCAGAGCACTGTGGACTAAATTAGTGCATGCTGAAATTTGGGAAGAGAAGAATGATTTGCCTACAAGTTATATGCCTGTTAACAAGAGGAGATAAAAGAAGTAGGAAATGGGCATTATCCAAATCCAATGAAATCTACAGAAGAAGCAACAAGGCCTGTTTCAAGATAGTTGGTTTTTTTTTTTTTTCAAAGTTAGTACTCTTTGGAGACAGTCTTGAACACATCAACCTAACTTGTCTTGTTAGCACACAATAAGGATCTTCAAAGCAGGTCTTAAGGCAGGAGTAGGCAACCCAAAGCCCTGCAAATTATTTGGTGAAAGCTTCCCAAATTTCTTGCTATTGACCATGCTGGTTGTGGTGATGGGATTTATAGTGCCAGAACCTAAACTTGTTAGACCCCCAAATTAATTTGACCTATTACAGTGGGTCCCCAGATGTTTAGGCCTTCAACTCCCAGAAATCCTAATAGCTGGCTGGAATTTCTGGAAGTTCACTGCTGAACGGCTCTCACAGTCAGGAAGTTCTTCCTCATGTTCAGATGGAATCTCCTTTCTTGTAGTTTGAAGCCATTGTTTTGTGTCCTAGTCTCCAGGGAAGCAGAAAACAAGCTTGCTCCCTCCTCCCTGTGGCTTCCTCTCACATATTTATACATGGCTATCATATCTCCTCTCAGCCTTCTCTTCTTCAGGCTAAACATGCCCAGCTCTTTAAGCTGCTCCTCATAGGGCTTGTTCTCCAGACCCTTGATCATTTTAGTTGTCCTCCTCTGGACACATTCCAGCTTGTCAATATCTCTCTTGAATTGTGGTGCCCAGAATTGGACACAATATTCCAGGTGTGGTCTAACCAAAGCGGAATAGAGGGGTAGCATGACTTCCCTAGATCTAGACACTATGCTCCTATTGATGCAGGCCAAAATCCCATTGGCTTTTTTTGCCGCCACATCACATTGTTGGCTCATGTTTAACTTCTTGTCCACGAGGACTCCAAGATCTTTTTCACACGTACTGCTCTTGAGCCAGGCATCCCCCATTCTGTATCTTTGCATTTCATTTTTTCTGCCAAAGTGGAGTATCTTGCATTTGTCACTGTTGAACTTCATTTTGTTAGTTTTGGCCCGTCTCTCTAATATGTCAAGATTGTTTTGAATCCTGCTCCTGTCCTCCGGAGTATTGGCTATCCCTCCCAATTTGGTGTTGTCTGCAAACTTGATGATCATGCCTTCTTGCTCTTCATCTAAGTCATTAATGAAGATGTTGACCAGGACCAGGACAGAACCCTGCGGCACTCCGCTCGTCACTTCTTTCCAGGATGAAGAGGAAGCACTGGTGAGCACCCTCTGGGTTCGTCCATTTAACAGATTACTGATCCACCTCACCGTAGTTTTGCCTAGTCCACATTGGACTAGTTTGTTTGCCAGAAGGTCTAATGGGGGAACCAGCTATCCGGAAAGAGAAGAAAAGGGGAAAGGCTGAATTACAGCAGGGAGAGGTACATGATGGTTGGGAAAGGTACATTACAGCGAGGTAGGGGCAAGAGAAGCAGAGTTTGGAGTAACCAATTTATTAAGGGTTTCCTGATTGTCTGAACATGCACAGAGCCTAACAGGTACACTTTAAGTGTCTGCAGCCTTTGGAACTCTCTGCTGCAGGCACGAAGGGAGCAAATAATACTTTTATTTCATGCAGCTCAAAGCTATGGTTTCATGCAGCTCAAAGCTATGGCATCCAGGGATCTGTAGTTTGGGGAAGCACCAACTAAAGAGCAGGCACGGGCAAACTTGGGCCCTCCAGGTGTTTTGGACTTCAGCTGCCACAATTCCTAACAGCAATTGTGGGAGCTGAAGTCCAAAACACCTGGAGGGCCCAAGTTTGCGGCTGTTAGGAATTGTGGGAGCTGAAGTCCAAAACACCTGGAGGGCCCAAGTTTGCCCATGCCTGGTGTAGATACACATGTATACGCTTCCCATTCCTGCCAGTACAACCAGCAATAGTAAATCCCAATCACACCTTTAAAGAGGCCCCGCCCTCACTGCGCTTGTTTCCAGGTGAGCGCTGGGCTGCGCAGGTGGGCGTGTCCGTCCCGCTCTCTCCTGATTGGCTGCGGCGACGCGGAAGGCCTCCCAACAAAGACCACAGCGCGACACGTCACCTTACCCTTCCTTCGCTGTCACTTCCGCCTTCTCCCTCAATGTGAACGTAGAGTGACGTCACCGCCGGCCGCGGCGAATCCGGCGCTCGCTCAGCAGTCACACCCGTCGCCGCTCTTAAAGGCGACGCGTCCTTGTTTTGTTTTTCAGTAAGGAGAAAAAGAAGGAGGAGGACCAGGAGGGCGGCCATTTTGTTTGTTGCCGTTGCCGTCGACGCCCCCTCCGGGCGGAGCCGTTGGCCGCGAGGCGCTTCCGCGTGAAGTATGCGCGTGAAGGGTTCTTCCGACCATGCAATGGCGCTCGCTGGTGCTGGCGCTCTTGGCCCTGAGGCTGGCGGGGCAGGCGCTGCTCTGGCTGGCGGGGCCCAGCCTGGGCTTCTTCCACCAGCAGCAGCAGCAGCAGCAGCGGAGGCGGCTCCGGGCGTTCCCGTGCGTAGGCCAGGCCTCGAACCCGCGTTGCCTCACAGCCGGCTTGGCGGCGCCGCACTGGGCCCCCTTCTTAGGAGGAGGAGGAGGTAGCCATGGCGGCGGGCTCCGGCTGCCCCTGCTCGCCGAGGACGAGTACGAGCAGCGCTACAGCCGCGCCTTCCCGGCCCAGCTCCGGGCCCAGCTCCGCGACGCCGCCCGAGGCATGTTCGCCTTCGGCTACGACAACTACATGGAGCACGCCTTCCCGCAGGACGAGCTCAACCCCATCGAGTGCCGCGGGAGGGGCCCCGACACCGCCGACCCGTGAGTCAGGGCCGGAGGGAGGGAGGGAGGGAGGGAGGCACAGTCCGAGCACCTCCGGCAGAGGCCCAGACGGCCAGCCCGTGCCTAAACACACCCCGCAAAACAACAGAGGGGAAACAAACAGGCACATAAAATCACTCTCAACAAGATATTCCCCCCAGGCGCTTCCAGGCCATTGAATGCAAATCAAGGTGATCAGCTGAAACATTCACAGCTAGCCCCAGCAGACAGGGGTCCTTTGTCTCACCCTGGTCATTCCACAGATATATAAACCCATTTTCCTACTTCCATCAGACCTCACTACCTCTGAGGATGCTTGCCATAGATGCAGGTGAAACGTCAGGAGAAAAGTTGCCTCCAGAACATGGCCATATAGCCCGGAAAAACCTACAACAACCCAGTGATCCCGGCTATGAAAGCCTTCGACAATACACCCCCGCCTCCCTTCAGTATACCTCTGCCTTCAATACCTTGCGCACAGGTTGCCCCTGAATTACAAATAATAATAATAATACTTTATTATACCCCGCCACCATCTCCCCAAGGGACTTGGAGCGGCTTACATGAGGCCAAGCCCAACAGTGCATCAATGAACAAAAGCAATAAACAATAATAATAATAATAATAAAGCTTTATTTATACCCCGCCACCATCTCCCCAAGGGACTCTGAGTGGCTTACGTGAGGCCAAGCCCCAAAACACATCAAAACAACAAGCAATAATAAAACAACAACAATAACCAAAGTGAACAATACAATTAATATAAATCACAAGTACACCATCATCATATTTAATTACTTATTAATCGCCCTCCATCCGAGAATGCTCTAGGCGATTTACAGCTAAATTATAAAAGATAAAATACATACATACAGAAATTAAAAATTAACAGAGATCGAATGCTCTAGTAAAAACCCAGGTCTTAAGTGCGAGAGTAAAAGGTCCTAAGTCATGCGTGGCTCTCATGTAGGGTGTCAAGGAATTCCATAAGGCAGGGGCAGAAATAGAAAAAGCCCTGCATCTGGTACTTTCCAAGTGCACTTCTCTAGGACCCGGTAACACACAAGAATTTAAAAACCTATGACTGGGCCAGATGTAATAGTTAAAAACTTTAAAAATAGATGCTGGACATGAGTAGAGGGTGTATCTATTGGGAGGGTTTTAAATCAAGGTAAGAACAATCCAACAGGTAATTAAAGTGCTTCTCAGAGTATTTGCCGGATATTGTTTCCTTTATTCTGGGAAAACAAAAACAATAAATACAATACAATTAATATAAATCACATATAAACAGTAACACACAAGGATTTAAAAAATCTAAGGTCGGGCCAAATGTAACAGTTTAAAAATTAAAAAATAAACACTGGGCATGAACAAGGTAGGATATAACTGGTATAGGGTTTTTAAAGAGACTTGAGGGAACACAGTCAATCCTAGACCAGTAGTAAAGTGCATTTGAGGGCATATTGCTGAGAATTTTCCGTATTCTGGGAAGGCACACTGGAACAAGTACGTTTTCAGGCTCCTCCTAAAGACTGCCAGAGTTGGGGCATGCCTGATGTCCTTGGGAAGTGAGTTCCAGAGTCGGGTGGCCACCACCGAGAAGGCCCTCAAACATCTGACTTCTATGCGACTCACCGTTAAGAACCGGGCTGAGACCATAGGAAGTGAGAGAAATCTTCCCCATGGAAGGGAAATTCACTCCTGGAAATATTAACAATTAATGCCACTCGAAGTTAAGAACGGGGACTGGTAATAATCATCACCATCATCATCTTTATTTATACCCCACCACCAGCTCCCCAAAAGGGATTCTGGGCGGCTTACATGAGGCCAAGCCCAGTAGTACTGTACATTACAGCAAAATAAATACAGAACAACAGAACTAACATCACAGTAAAATAAATAAAACAGGAATACAATAAAACAATGCAAAATAACACAATGAGAAATCTTCAGGGCCCTTCCACACAGCCCTATATCCCCAGAATATCAAAATCCCACAATATGTGCTTTGAACTGCGTTATCTGAGTCCACACTCAGGTAATGTGGGATCTTCTGCCTTGATATCCCGGGATATAGGGCTGTGTGGAAGGGCCCTCAGTGGAGAAACCATTTTCCCCATGACAACTCTTTCAGAAGTGAATTTCCCTTTGATTTATCTCACTTCCTGTTGTCTCAGGTCCCTTCCACACAGCTCTATAAAATTCGGCATTATCTGCTTTGAACTGGATGAAATGGCAGTGTGGGTTCAGGGCCCTGCCACACAGCTATATAACCCAGAATATCAAGACAGATCATCCTCAATATCTGCTTTGAACCCGATTATCTGAGTCCACTCTGCTATATAATCCAGTTCTATGTGGATTTTGTACAGCTGTGTGTAAGGGGCCTCCATGCCAGGGGGGATTTTGAGGACAAAGCGTGACAAAATGAGTGACAGGAGCCCATCCACATTTTCCCCCTTTCCTGTTACTGTCTCATTAAGCTTAGTAGAGTAGAGTGTTGCTTATACAACATAAACGGGCCACAGAAGCGAAAATGTTGAATAATAAGGAGGGATTAAGAAAAAGCCTATTCATTGTCAAATTAGGTTATGGTTTTACAAATTAAGCATCAAAGATCATGTTTTACATAATTCAACAGAAACACCAGTTCAATACATGGTAAGGTTATGTAGTAATTACTGTATTTGCGAATTTAGCACCAAAACATAATGTATTGAAACAGCTATGTATCCGGGTGGGAGGCAGATAATCGAAAGTTGGATGAGCGAAGGTTGGATAAGCGAGGCTGTACTGTGTTGTCTCAGTAGTACGCCTTTCCAGAGTGCCAGGGCCCTTCCACACAATCATATAACTGAGAATATCAAGGCAGATCATCCCCAATATCTGCTTTGAACTGGGTTATGAGTTCACACTGTCATATAACCCAGTTGAAAGCACATAATGTGGGATTTTGTACAGCTGTGTGGAAGGGACCTGAGACAACAGGAAGTGAGAGAAATCTTCCCCATGGAAGGGAAATTCAATTCTGGAAGAGTTATTATCATTGGGAAAAGGGGTGTCCACTGAGGCTTTCTCACCAAACCTTGTTTCCACAACAAGCCATTTTTTTCAAAATTCATTTAATCTCAGGGACAGAAAGTGAGGGGAAATCTTCTGAACAGACACACAGACAGCAACATAAACACCACAGGGTTGCTAACCCTTCCCTATGCTATCAAAAGATATATATAATATATGCACAAAACTTTATTTTTATATCCCACCACCATCTCCCCAGAGGGACTCAGGGCAGTTTACAGAGGACACAAAGTGCCTAAAAACAAAACATAAAAATGAAGTATATTAGAAAATACAATAAAATAAATACATGCGCTTATAAAACATCAGCTCAAACTCAATCAAACATCCTTGGTGGTAAGTTGCTGTAAACATGGCTAAGCTGTAAACAATAGGAATTAAATAAGTGCAAGCTGCAGTAAAGGAGACAGGGCATGGGATAAAGTACAAGGCTGTCCGACTACTGCGCAGRATAATTAAACATTTAACATTCTCAAAGGCTTGTTTGAAGAGCCACGTCTCCAAGTCCCTATGAAAGGAGGACAGTGTGGGAGCCTGTCTAATTTCTCAGGGGAGAGCATTCCAAAGATTGGGGGGGGGGGGGAGGGACCACCGAGAAGGTTCCTATCTTGTCCCCATCAGCCATGCTTGTGATGGTGGTGGGACCACCAGGTGGACCTCCCCGGCAGATCTTGGAGCCCACATCGATTCATTGGGGTGGGGGTGCAGTCACAAAGATAGGCAGGACCAGAGCTGCTTAGGTATATATTCCTTTTATGTAGAGAGGCATGGGCAAACTTCAGTTCTCCAGGCGTTTTGGACTTCAACTCCTACAATACTGGCTGTTAGGACATTGGGGGGCAGGATGATCAGATGCCGTCAAAAGATATAGAATATGTGTGGAAGACTAACCTGTGTCCATCTCCTTTACAGTTCAAAACTTCCTAACTCGTGGCTGTAGAGTCTGCTAATTTATAACTAAAAGCAATGCTTTTACATTGAGCTGGAGTGAGATTTTTTAAATGCTTACATCATCATCATTTTATTAACATTTTTTAAAAAGTGATTTTAGCTGTGTAAGCATTGTTTTAAATTCCATGTACTTTATGAAGGATTACTATAGTAATAATAAGTGATGTAGTGTAGAGAAGAAGCTTTTTAGAAAATGTGGTAATATTCCAACTGCAAAATTACAGAAATTCAGAATAATACTATTTAAGTTACAATGGGCAACCATTTTTCTTGCTTTTACACATGCACATATACACTCACAAGTACAGATATTCTATCATGTGAATAAAGGAAAAGGTATCAATTGCTCACCAATCCTTGTTCCATAGCAAGCCAAACTTTTCAAAATCCAGTTCTCACAGAGACAGAAAGTGAGGGGAAATCTTCTGAACAGGGACAGAGACAGCAAAACAAACAGCTCAGGGGTGTTAACCCTTCTCTATACTATCAAAGTTAATAATATAATAATGACAACAACAACAATTTTATTTCTTACTCGGCTCTCCTTATGGCTCAAGGAGGGGTCACAGCACAGTCAAAAACACACAAATACCTGTTCTGACTTAGAAACAAATTCAGCTTAAGAACAAACCTGTATTCATACAAACATTTCACACTGTTTGGCTTTATTTCTTCAGCAAGGGATGACTTCATTTTATTCTACTTCACACGCACACGGGATGTTAACCCTTCCCAATGCTATCCAGAGCGCATGCTCTCTGTCTGGCTAGAGTTAGGGTTAGGCATCTATTCTGACCTTCATACAAATTCAGCTTAAGAACAAACCTATAGAACCTATCTTGTTCCTAACTCGGGGGCTACCTGTTTTTGTAAAATATTCATTCCACTCTTTAGTATACATCTGCCTTCAGTATCTTATATACTGAGAGAGTATAGGTCACTCTTAACACATGCAGGATTAGCTCTGCTGATAACATTTTCAAAATCATTAGTCTTTGACACAGGAGACCAGCAGCAAGGGAAACCCACTCTCTCGGCCTCTACGGGAGGCAAAGGCAAAGGCAACCCTTCCCCCCAAACAATTCTTGACAAGAAACCCCCTTAGGATCAGCCAATTAGTTTCTGGGCAAAGTACAAAGCGTTAAAACATTTGAAGCCCAACAAGTGTTTTGATAATGTTGTGTTTTATTGTTCTGTTTTAATCCCCCAATCACTACTGTTATTATTCCTAGAAGAGTTCAAGTTCACTTTATTATGGTCAATGACCAGTTCGAGAGAAGAGGGACATAGTCCCATACAAGTATATCACAGTTAAGGGTTAAGAGATTTTAAACTTTAAAGTATGCGTATCATTGTTAGGGCATTAACACAATTAATTTAATAATCTAAGCTAAATTAAAAGCCATATACAGGATCGTATTAAAACTCAACAATATTTTTGACGTTGAAGGGAAGAGAATCTAAGGGGGGGGGGGTGGGTGCTCATATGGCACAGGGAAGGGAAGTCCAGCCAAACAGAGGAGGGAGCAACATCCATACTATAATTAAAATACTGCAATCCAAATTTTCTTCTAGTATAAAGCCCTTGCTTGACTAGCTTGTGGAAAGCTTGATTTCAAATTGGCAAGAACTGAGTATTAATTTAGAAAATACGTTATGTTTCATGTTGTTTACACTCTAAAAAAAATCATTATTTTGAGCATTGCATAAGCATTGCTTCATTCCTCCCAGGAGGGGCTGCATCCTCTTGTGGGATGCTATTTCTTTGGTGTAACGAGTGAGTATTCCACTAAAAAATTATTTGCAGCTTTGGGAGTTACTAATAGGTGCTCCATGTGCTTCTGCCACCTTCTCCTGTATGCCCTTTATTGTCTACTAGGTTTCTGTCATGTTTCTCTCTTCAGCAAATGAGCAGAGATTGTGGTATGTATAGTTGCAGTTTACAGATTTCCAACCTGATATGTTGCCTAATTTTTTTGGTGGATGTCCCATGGCTTTTGTTTTTTTCATGAAAATTTTGCTTTAAGAGACAAGTAAACATAACACTTCTTTAAAAAAAAAAAAGAGTAGTAGTCTATGCCCAGCATAAATGATGGATTGGCTCAAGCAAGTATTATGCAATTTTAAAAATAAATATTTATCTGAGGTATAACATAAGATTACTGCTAGATTAGGCAAGGATTATCTAGGATCCTGTTCACTCAGAATGTAATAGATGTTTTTGAGAAACCCAATAATTGCAAAAAAGGGCAACAACAGTCTCCTAACTTTAGCAGAATAGTTGCAATTCTCAGGCATATCAGCTCTCCTTCTGATCCTAGAGGTAGCAGTTAGGATTAGTAGCCATTCACAGTCCATCCTGCATTGCTTTTTCTAATTCTAACAAATAATCGAATATAGCAGTCATTCCTACATTCTTTCACAGGAATTTAACTGTACGCTGTATGAAGGATTGTTTTCTTTTACATTTTTCATCTTTCAACATTACCAAGGAGCCCCTGGTAGTGCAGTGGGTTAAACCCCTGTGCCGGCAGGACTGAAGACCGACAGGTCGCAGGTTCGAATCCGGGGAGAGATGGATGAGCTTCCTCTATCAGCTCCAGCTCCTCATGCGGGGACATGAGAGAAGCCTCCCACAAGGATGATAAAAACATCAAATCATCCAGGCATCCCCCGGGCAACGTCCTTGCAGACGGCCAAATTCTCTCACACCAGAACGAACACTGGTTCAGCATTTTTATCCAGCTGTCCACAACAATCCTAATACTTGCTTATTAGTTCAGATCTCTTCAGCTGGTTTTTGTTTTGCCCAAATCCACATCATTTTCTAATTGTGTTTTGGTTCTAAAGATTCGAATAATTTGGTGTTGTCAGCAAACCTGTCTTCTGTACTAATAACCTTCAATTCTTGACCATTTATGAAAAAAATGAAAGGTATTGGTCCCTATGAAATCATACTGGAAATCTACATCTTAGGATGTGTTTTGGAATGCAATCAATAACCCCATGTTATTGATTTAACCATGTTGTCCTGGGTTTCAGGAGTATAACTCATTCCTGGTATAAGAGGAACTGATCTGCTACTGTGTGATTGCTAAACATGCTAAGGCGTTTCTTTGTAGTTCTTTTGTCAAAAGCTTTTAAAATTGAAAATACTCTTACTTTTTTTGGAAGAAATTCTTTGTCTAATATTTGAGCTATAAAAAATCCATAAGTTTAAAAGTAACACGTAATTTTAATTTTGCAAACTTGATAGCAGTTTAAATTAGTTGTCCGTATGAAATTTCTTGTGGAAAATCTATTCATTGTTATTCAGAACCCAATGTGTTTGCTTTATGGAGGAAATACTTTCTAACAATGTAAATATCGATTTTATGCTGGAAAAAGTGAATTATTTAACTCTTTATTAGATGGAAAGCTGAGTCTTTTTCCCTCAGCCTTCTTGCTCAGTTTCCCATAGTGATTTATATATAGTGACTCTTGGAGAAAATATTTCTTTTCTAAGAAAACTATTCTTTTATAATTTAATTGTATAGAAGTAATTATACTCAGCACCTTTTTCATTATGTTAGTAATCTGCTTAAAACATCTAAATCTCTTGAAATTTTGTTTTTCAAAATTAGAACACGCATTTCAGAATATTTTTAATACTTTTATTACAGTTCATTAAAGAAAAAGCAAAGTTTAAGTTTAGCTCTTTGTAACTAGTTCTATCCTTGAAAGCAGCTTTTAAGACTTAGTAATTTTATTCAAAAAAGGAATGAAAATGATCAGATATCCCTGTTTCATTAAAGCTCACAGCTGTTCTTGCTTTTCTTTTACTTGTACTGCAAAGATTTTTGTGTTCTTGACACCGTCTCCTTTTAGGCTCTTTCTCGTAGATTGACACTAATATACTTGTAAAGTGATCTTTAGAATAACACAGCTATGAATTCTAGTATTATGTTTTAATTGAAAACTGTTATACTTCACTTACTGTATAATGACTTTATCAAGGTATTTTTAATAAATTGTGTAGATATGTCTTTTATTGTAAGCCTTAATAAAGCAGAGTACTAAGAGTCGAGCCCTGAACGCAAGGAAAGAACAGTGAGCTGTATTGTAGGAATTGTCTGTTGCAGAAATAGCAAGGTGTACCTTCTTTGTTTAAATGTCCACACTGCATGTACTTTGAAAAGAGATAGATACTGTTCTTTATCTTGTGGTTAAGGTGCTTGTTGCTGAGGAATAGACTGGTTTTTATACTGGTCCTGATGACATGTTGTTTAATCCATCGTGTGTAATATCAGAATTATCTGCAGAAAATGTAGTCAACTCTCTTACATTGCTATTCAGAAGCCTCTTTAAGTTTACCATATTGATATTCTTCACCTCATGAGATGAAAAATTTCTTGAAGATTTTCCAATCTTTCCAAAGCTCAAAAAGGATTTGAATGGCTTGAGCAGCTTAAGGCCCAGTGTCATCAGGATATATTTACTGCAGAACTGCAGATAATTCATTTCCGTTCAGAGTTTTAGATGCATCTACTATAGGTTGAAGCCATCATTTTGCACCCTGCCCTCATTGACTTACAGACTGTTTTTAAGTATGTTTATTATTTGAATGTGTGATATTTTTGCCCTTCTCAAAAAAAATTGCATATAGCCAAGTTAAACGTACAAATGAGGAATAACCCATCTAAAAAAAGTATTATGTTATATCACCAAGAGAGCAATACAGCATTCTTAAAATTGGGAGACTATCTTGGTAAAGTCTCAGAGACTTGCTTCCAGATAATATGCACAGAATATAGGTTATATCATTTTCAGACTAAATATTTGAAATTGTTGGGTTTTTTAAGTGATAGAACTAACTTCTAATCAAATTTATTTCAGTTCAAATCTCAATATCAATGATGTCCTGGGAAACTACTCGCTTACTCTGATTGATGCATTGGATACCTTAGCAGTGAGTTAAAGGTTTTTTTAATTACTGGAAGAAAAAAAACCATAGCTGTCATTGGAAGTAATTTTTAAGTGAAAGACAAATTGTGATGCAATTATATTGATAACCCCAATTGAGAGAAGCAATATAGGGAACACTACATTCTTGCTTTCCCATCTTGTTTAAACTAATAAAAAACATTGTCCTTGGTGGATGTCCACACCATAAATTTTAATTCTCATGTTTGTTACTACTTTGGATAAATTGTGGATGCTCTTCCACAATTTTGCACACATTACAGATTGTAGGATGCAGAGAAACAGTTTCGGTTGATGCTTGACTTTGGAAGTAGTCATATGTTGCAAGGATAGTGATTCTATTCTGTATACCAGAAGACTCTAAAGCAGTGTTTCTCAAACTGTGCTTCTCCAGAAACCCCAGCCAGCTTACTAGCTGTTAGGAGTTGTGGGAGCTGAAGTTCGAAACATCTGGAGGAACACAATTTGAGAAACACTGCTCTAGAGGAGAGGTGGGGACAATGTCAACTAGAATGAGTTATAACTGAATGCCTTATTTCTTACTCGTGAAGGATTTTTATAGTAAAATTGTTCTAGCAAGGAAACAGAATTTTTATTGTACCATAAATCATGGTGATTTACACTTTTTCGGGTTAAATTCTGTATCATTTTCTCTCTGAAAGCACTTAATGCTGACTATTTCATAATTATTGATATTGATATGAGATTCCTTCTTTCTTGGACAAAAAGCTTATATCTTTTAAATAAAAGCTTTAAACAGCTACAAACTTAATCTTGGAAGTTGTGTATTTACACTTTTTTTGTAATTTTTAGTTACAACTTCTACTTAAAAAGCAGTCATTGACTGTTAATATATCCTGTTCTACAACATTAATTCATTGAAATGGTTGAATTGAGAATCTAAAATACTACTGGGTTTGAAAATATGACAATAAGAATAACTTTCTAAAATATTTGTCACTGACAGATACGTGTTTTTAATTAATTCTACAGTTAAAATAATTTCCATACATAAACTGTGATTATTTGATGTGTTGCACATTTTCTGTTTTGTAAAGGTAATGGGAAATTCTTCAGAATTCCAGAAGGCAGTGAAGCTGGTGATAGACACAGTCTCGTTTGACACTGATTCCACTGTCCAGGTCTTTGAGGCAACAATTAGGTAAGTTGCTGCTAAAATTTGATGAGAGCATTGTGGTTGTAACAATAATCAAAATGAGATATTTAACAAAAATTGGAAAGCTAACTTTACATTTTGTTTGTTGTCTACATCATATGAGATGTTACAAGTATAATAACATGGAAGTTTATAGAATTATGTAAAAGGTTAAAAGGAAATTACAATATAATGGGGAGGATGCATGTTTCATGGTAAAAAACCACCACAGGGAAATTAAATTACAGATATAGGCTCTTGCTTGTCAAAATAAAAAAGTCCCTACTGTAACATTCATTTGTTTTATATGTGCTTTATACACTGACTGAAGGTAATTTCATGTAATGTTTGTAATAATTTTGAATGTGAAACAAAGTTTGGGTATATTGCAAAATCAGCAAACAAAGATATCACTATCTTAGCCACACATGTGGATAGTTTCAGTATTTTGGATAAGTATTGCCTGGCCTGTACCATGTTGTGTGAGAGTTACTCACCGCAGCTGCATAAAGCTCGACTATAGTTGCATTCTAAGGAGATTATGCAGCAGTATCTTCCTTCCTCATAGTACCCTTTTCTATATTTTTATACCTAAAAATATTTGAACCTTGGTACAGATGCTCTGGGGAGGGTATATAGGCATGAAAAGCATGCCGTTTTCATTTTAGTGGATGAAAGTCTGTTGGTGGTTCATATTAACTTTTTTGTTATACATGCCAACCTTACCCAACATGGTGCTCTCTCAATATTTTCCAGTGCAATTCAAATTAGCCTTAGGAAGTATTGATATTTATTATTAGGAATGATGAAGATTGTAATCCCAAAAAGTTCCAGGGTTCCAGGTTGGGAAAGTCTAGCATACTTGGAAGTACTGGGACTGTGTCTCAGATATTACATAAATTACTTAGCAAAAAAAACAAAAAAAAACAAACAAAAAAACAGCAAAATTGTTTTATAGTTTTGTTGGATTTACATACCCTTAGTTAATTTAGATAAAAATGGCTTTTATTATGGGATGTCTGCTTTTCTTCTTACACGTTTCCAGCATTTTGCCATGGGTTTCTTTGAAAGTAAGATGCAATAACAAAAGTTTATGCTTGGTTCTCATGAGAGCTTTAACACAAGAGGTTTTGATTAATGGAGAGACAAAAAGCCTGAGCGTGTCCACTTGGAGGCTAGAGGACAGTATATAAACTCATTACACAATGTGTTCCTGTCTCAGTTAAAAGGGATGTGATCTGACTTCAAAGACTGTATTAGCTGGCAATCTCTTAAGACTTTTAGCGGCTACTTTGACACACTAAATTCATTACAAACTTGGGGGTTCGATGTTTTCAGCTGAATCCTGTACTTGAAACTATTGCTGCTATATCCTGGTAATATAAAACCACCAGCATAGATACCATTTTCTTTCTAAGCAGATTGCTTGAGTAAGATTTATGTATAGAAAAAATATCCAAAAATGTACTTTCAGTTGTATTCAGAAATATACATTATTAGTATTAAGACATTTTATTTATTTAAAACATAAATAAAAGATTTGAAGGGGGTATGCAATCCGTTATAAGACAGATCCATAAAGCTGTAGCTGAGCTTTATAATTTATTAATATTGACGATATGTATGACAAACTAAAATATCTGGCTGAATTATTTATTTAAGTTAGTGACTGCTGGAAACTTGGCAAGTAATGATTACAACAGATATTGTGAGTTGCATTGGTGAACAAATCCGATGGGAAATAGCTTCAGGAAAAAAAAGCTTAAGATGCTCTGACGATTATGTTACGATGTCCTGAAAGGTGTAATGAACATTCTTTTTCTTAAACTTGAGTATAACATTAAGATCTTTAATGTTACTCATAGTAACAAAATTAATATTCTCTCTGTAAAACTATTCTACCTCTTTTCTCACAGGGTCTTGGGAAGTTTGCTTTCAGCTCACATAATAATTACAGATGCCCGGCAGCCTTTTGGTGATATGAGTATTAAAGACTATGATAATGAGCTCTTACATATGGCTCATGACCTGGCAGTCAGGCTTCTACCTGCTTTTGAGAACACCAAAACTGGGATTCCTTATCCTCGGGTATGTATAGTATAATAGTACACTTTTGGGCAAGCTGTTCTCCTCCTTTCTGTAACATCATAGTATTAATCTTTAGACAAGTCTTGCATATTAAATATTTGAGTATTAGGGTATGGTTTTGGGGAAATCCTCTTTATATAGCAACCTATGAGAGAAATCGCATTACTATGACAAAATAATGTTTATAGGCCCTGTTTTTTTATGGTAATGCATGCAGTCTTGGAAGCTGAATGTGCTACTGCCCTCGCTTGAATCCATCTGAGAAGAAGCTTCTTTGAAAGGATACGCTGAATTAAATGGTAACTTGTCAAGATGAGGCTGACTCAGGGTGTGGATTTTGCAGTGTCCAACTTGATTTTCTCGTAACTGGATGTTTACACACCTAATTAAAATACTTCTGTTTAGGGAGTTTCCCTGTGGAATATGATGCAACTTCATGACAGAGCAATGATGAAACACAGAAGCCATTTTATTTTATTTGTAATTATGAAGAGAGTAAAAACTTTAAAAGAGGAGTGTGATAGCTCATTTTTCAAGAAATTGGCATATAAACCATCCTATCTTTGTAGGTAAACCTAAGAACAGGAGTTCCTTCTGGCAGCAATAACGAGACTTGCACTGCAGGAGCTGGTTCTTTGTTGGTGGAATTTGGGATTCTGAGCCGGCTTCTTGGGGATTCAACCTTTGAATGGGTTGCCCGCCGAGCTGTAAAAGCTCTCTGGAGTTTAAGGAGCAACGACACTGGTTTATTAGGTAGGCATTTTGTTTGTGAATGTCTTACATAATTGAGACCAGAATGTAGAGTTTTGTTACAGCTTGATACTGGAGGCTTTTATATTGTGATAATGGTAGGAAACCATTCATATAATCTAGTTTAAAGTAGATAATCTGGGATCAGATTCTGGGATATAGCACAGTGTAGAAGGGGCCTTAGTCTGAGAAAGTGTGATTTCCCAATTTTAACCAGTGGGTTTTTATTACTGAGTGAGATTTAAAGCAAGCCCTGGTAGTACAGCAGGTTAAACCACTGGGCTGCTGAACTTGCTGATTGAAAGTTCAGTGGTTCAAATCTGGAAAGTGAGGTTAGCTCCCGCTGTTAGGCCCAGTTTCTTCCAACCTAGCAGTTTGAAAACAAGCAAATGTGAGTGGATCAATAGGTACCGCCTTAGCAGGAAGGTAATAGCGCTCCATGCAGTGATGCTGGCCACATGACTTTGGAGGTGTCTATGGACAGCGCCGTCTCTTCAACTTAGAAATTGAGATGAACACCACCCTCTGGAGTCAGACACAATGACTTAATGTCAGGGGAAACCTTTACCTTTTCTTAGTCTAATGCTCAGATCACTAAAGCATATTGGTTATCTGTCTCTGGTCTTAGCATATCTGAAATATCTATGTTTTCATATTCAGCAAAAGTGGGATGTCTTCTTTCTTTTTTAAATACAGTAACTTCTAAAGAGTTGCATAATTACAACTCTTTTGAATTGAAATAATCCAATATAATGAGACTCTGAATTAGCAAATATAGTTATTGACCAGGGGCTCCAAATTAGTATGGTAATTAGCACTGTGGTAGAAATGCTTCACTAAAATCTTCTATAGGTGATGGCTTATATCTGTTTTTACCGCTTTGCCAATGGAAGGCTCTGATGAAGTAAAGGGCCCTGTGAACAGAAATGGAGCAGCATTTTACTGATTTCTTTTCTGCAATTTCTTGAGCCTTCCGCAGAGCTATTCCTCTTAGTGTGATAAATTGATTTTATGCCAGTATCCTATATAGTTTTTTAAAAGTAAATATATGTATTTGTGTTATTTTATTGTACTTACAATTGTTTTGGGGGAATCTTTTGAGTACTCTCCTATGGAAGCTGTAAAGATATGTAACTGTCCTGGCATGACCTTTAACTTCATGATTTTTATCATAGGCAATGTTGTAAATATTCAAACTGGCCAGTGGGTTGGAAAACAGAGTGGCCTGGGAGCAGGATTAGACTCCTTCTATGAATATCTTTTGAAATCTTACATCCTCTTTGGAGAAAAAGAAGATCTAGAGATGTTCAATGATGCATATCGGAGTATTCAGAACTATTTAAGGCGAGGGTAAGTCACTTTCATGTGTTGTTTTCAACTGTAAAAAATATATCAGAAATGTAAGGTTTTTGTATTGCTATAGTAACTTTCAGTATAGTTGTAGATTCCTTTGTGACTTACAACCACAAACTAAATTGTCTCTTTAAAAAATATTTGTTCAGATCTCTCCTCAAACCTTCTGTTTTTGTGAAACCTGGCACATTTGCTTTAGTACTTTTGTATAACCAAAATTAAATATGCAAAGGGTTGCTGTTGCACTTTTAAGACACAATGAGATAAAGGAGTTGATAGCTTAAAATTTTGTAAACATAAATCTACTAGATGCAAAGGATGAAGTGCCACTTCATGCATCTAATGAAATAAGCTTAAGTCTATTAAAACGTGTGTCTCTTAGTCTTAAAGATGCTGCAGTATCCCTTTTGCATACTGATCCAAACTAACACAGCTATGTTTTGGAATTCTATAATTAAATATGTGTAATTGAAGTAATATATATTCTTTTTTACTCATGTTCTTGCTTGCTTTTCTGTTATTCTGGGTCAAACTATATAGATTGTAACTTCTTTGGAGAAAGATTGGTTTGCTTGTATTTCATGAAGTACAAGATGTTGTGGCAATCAGTTGTAGAAGTAATGGTACTAATAAGAATAATAAAAATAATACAGCTGTTGATTTACTATTTTTATTATAGTATCTGGAATGAGCGAATACTGTTTTTTATTAAAGCCAAAACATACTCTGATATCTTCGGCAAACCTTTAAAATGTATTTAGGCATGTAATATCGTTCCTTTTTTTCAGGGCTTATAATTATCATAACCTTTAGGATGTGATAGTTCTAACATGGAACCTCTCTTATACAATCGTAAAATCTTATAATAGTGAGGCCTACCACATATGCCAAGGTTATACAGTTCTGAAACAAACCTTGTTTGCTATTTTAGGAGGGAAGCTTGCAATGAAGGTGAAGGTGACCCACCACTTTATGTTAATGTGAATATGTTCAGTGGGCAGTTAATGAACACCTGGATTGATTCTCTTCAAGCATTTTTTCCTGGACTTCAGGTATTTTCGCTGTGGCAGAGATAATATAGAAAAGCTTGGAATAGATGTACAGTAGTAGAAATTCTATTTTACAAACTAGGACTTCCTTACCGGAAGCCAGGATGTATCATCATTCATATTCGGTAATAGTGCACACAACATTCGGTCAATCATAATTCATGCATAAAGGAAATGATGTATACCAGGAGTCCCCAAACTTTTTAAACAGAGGGCCAGGTCACAGTCCCTCAAACTGTTGGAGGGCTGGATTATAATTTGAAAGAAAACATGAATTAATTCCTATGCACGCTGCACATCTCTTATTTGTAGTGTAAAAAACACTTAAAAATGTTGTTGTTCATTCGTTCAGTCGTCGCCGACTCTTCGTGACCTCATGGACCAGCCCACGCCAGAGCTCCCTGTCGGCCGTCACCACCCCCAGCTCCTTCAAGGTCAGTCCAGTCACTTCAAGGATGCTATCCATCCATCTTGCCCTTGGTTGGCCCCTCTTCCACTTTTCCCAGCATAATTGTCTTCTCTAGGCTTTGCTGTCTCCTCATGATGTGGCCAAAGTACTTCAACTTTGTCTCTAGTATCCCTTAAAAACAAATATAAACTTATTAGTATTTCAATGGGAAATGTGGGCCTGCTTTTGGCTGATGAGATAGGATTGTTGTTGTTGTTTGCTTTCAAGTCATTTCAGACTTAGGTTGACCCTGAGTGAGGGCCGGATAAATGACCTTGGAGGGCCGCATCCGGCCCCCGGGCCTTAGTTTGAGGACCCCTGATGTATACCAAAGCGACAGCTCAGACTTTTTTGCATTTGTTACTGTGTAGTCATGCTGTGAGTAGGTTCATCCAATACTTGGAAGGAATGAGGTGGATGCCTCTCAAAAAAATGGATGCCTTTCCGAATGAGCTTTTTCATCCCAGGTCCAAAAAAACCCAAATATTTTAATCCCATTGGCAGAGTGGGCAGGCTTCCCATGCTCCCCTTCTCCTCAGTTTTAGGCATTGGCAGGCGTGGGTGCTTTCTGTGCCTGCACACCACACACACACTCTCTTTCCAAGGAGACCCAAAGCCCGTTCCTGCAGCTGAGTCCAGAAAATCAGATGATGAAAAAGTTACCGTTCCCACTTTCCTTTAGTTTCACCGATATTTCTGTACTGGGGGGGAGGGGGGTGTATACCATTTTGTGCCATTGAAATGAAGCAAACAATATGAAAACACGAATTAAATGGCTGAATCGGCTACCGGGCCCATGACTAATGTTTACACGAACTTTGTGCAATGCTGTCCTTGGCTTAGGGAGAGTTGTCATCTGACTTGTTACAAGTGAGACTAATGTGGTCTACTACAAATGATTTGTTCTGAATATTCATATTTATATTGACAAAACTCATGTTAAAATAAATTTGACTCAGAAGTACTACTACTACTTCCCACCTCCCCATGTTCCTTTTTTGTTTCAGTGGGTTATTGTTTTATGTATGCAATTTTGCATTTGTTACATCTTTTCAGGTTTTAAAAGGTGATGTAGAAGATGCTATTTGTCTCCATGCATTTTATTATGCAATATGGAAACGATATGGGGCTCTTCCTGAGAGGTACAACTGGCAGTTACAGGCACCTGATGTCCTCTTTTATCCTCTAAGGCCAGAATTAGTAGAATCTACATACCTTCTTTATCAGGTATTTAATTTTTGGGAGGAGAGGGGGAGTCATGAGAAATTATATTTGTGAAGTGGGAATCTTGTGAAATTCAAATGGAGGCACCTGGTACAGTCTATACAGAAGGTGCCTTGGATCTGTTTTCTGGGCAGTTATGGTTAGATACTCAGTCAGTCTTGACATGGCAAACAAAGGCATATGGTAGTCAGCTTAGAGCTCAGTAGTGCCAGCATGATGTTGTATATAGAGTTCAGTGTGGATCAGTACCCCAAAGTCATTTGGATTTGTGTATTAGGGTCCACCCAGTTTCGGAGATAGGGGTGTCTAAGGTCACATGCCCGTGAGTCCTGTCTAGTAGTAACCAGGAAGCCCTTGTGACTTGGAGGGGCATTTTTCGTGTTTTGTTTTTGTTACTGCAATTTGCGTCCACCTTCCATCATTATAATAATAAAGTTTGTGCTGTTTCTTCTGAACAGCTGTTCTTGTTCTTTCCAATTAACCACAAATGCGTTTTGGCAAAACTCTGAAATGAATCAGGCTTTCGGGAAATATACAGATTGCCTTTTTACTTATTAACACAGACTGTTTAATTAAAGTAGCATTTATTACTCTAGATTCACAGTTGCCAAACAATGTGGCAATTACATGCATCCTAGAGTGAGTACTGGGTGTGTTTCTTCACTTTCCGTGCTACAAGATGACACTCTCTTCTTAAACTGAAAGCACTTTTAAAACCCATGACGTTGCAAGGAACAAGTTGTAGTTTCAGATCATTATTTGTTTTCTAACCAGAAAAAACTCACTGGAATGGATCGTCCACATTTCCATAGTTTGAGGTTCTGACTTGTATTTGTTTGTACTATGGCTCAGTTGCTTCATATTTACTTCTTTTCTTTATGCAGGCCACAAAGAATCCTTTTTATCTTCATGTGGGGATGGATATTCTTCAGAGTCTGGAGAAATATACAAAAGCAAAGTTAGTTTTCAAACTAATGCTGACATTGCTTAAAGCTCACTAATTTCTAGTGAAATTCTTTCTTTTGTTTAATTATAAAGAAACTTCATTTTGAATTGTGCTGCATGTGGTGGTATAGTTGAGAAATATGCTTCAACTTAAAAACTGTGTTTCTATTATCTTCGTTGCTTTTGGTTTTCCTTTCCAATAACACAGGCAACTATCTTCATAGGAGACTAGAGAAAAACCATAATATTCAAACAGCAGCACATTTTATGACATGAATTACTAGCTTAATTTCTTTGTCTCACTAGCTTAAAGCCTAGTGTATGAGGCTATAAGTATGAACAATAAATGTGTCCAAACATGTCTTTCAGATGTGGTTATGCTACTCTTCACCATGTCATAGAGAAGTCCAAAGAAGATCGGATGGAAAGCTTTTTTCTCAGTGAGACGTGTAAATACTTGTTTTTGGTGTGTATCTTCTAGTGCTGCTGCCTTTTCCCAGTTTTTTAAATGGCTTATTTTCTAGAACCATAATTATCTACAACTTGTAGCCTCCCTGAAATGATTCAAGCTGCATTTTGTTGATACGTTGTAAAATGTAATATTTACATTATACCGACAAACCCTTGTGTCCTATCAGTGCTATATTATGAAAATATTTTGTTGTCTTTTAATGTTTGCCACCAGATATGTTTTAACTGGACAAGCATGTTGATGCATCATTACTGTTACGTCATCAATATGGCACAATCAAAGATTAATTTAGATTTTCGTGTTTCAGCTATTCGATGAAGAAAACCCAGTGCACAAATCAGGCAATAGATACATGTTTACTACAGAGGGCCACATTGTGTCACTGGATAAGCGTCTTCGTGTTTCCCTATGGCAAGATAAAACTGAACAATTAAAGCCTAGCGAACTAAGAGCAGCCAACTCCACCTCTAATGTAGGTATAATGTTAGCATCTCTGTCTTGTCTGGAATCAGTTCCAATTTGTTTTTCCTCATCCAGCCCATTACCTTTTCTAGGCATTCATTCAGAGGATATATGCTACCCTTAGCTGATGCTGTTTTTGAAGACATGGAGAAATAATGACTTGCTTTCTGGAAATTCCTGATTTTTAAAAAATATATTAGGATAGAAAGTGAAACTACAGTATTATTTAAGTAATGAGTAATAGTTTGAGAGTTTGGATGTTTATCAGACCCTATCAAAATCTCTTCTGTCTTGTACAGAAAATGCCACTTCTGATTAAACTCTTAGGAAGACAGTTTCAAAATTCTAGGTGCTAGCTATAGGGAACAGAAAACATAATTCAGATGTGAAAATGTTAGAACAAGCTGAAATGTAATCTGCTGCAAGATGGTGTCCAAGACCTTTGTTGTTCATCTTTCTGGTTGAGGATCAATATGTGTAAGTAGTTTAAAAGCAAAAAAGCTTGTAATATTATAAAGTTTTTAATAATACGCTTGATCAATCAACTGCATGGGAAAACCATGGAAATTAGAGTATTATGATGACTTCTCGAGTTTAATTCTTTTTCTAAAGAAGTGTTACTGTATGAAGTACTGCGATCAAGGTTATTGACAACTGCAAGGAAGATTATTTCAGCAGCTACATTGTTATTTTAGGTTTTTGTCAATGCATATCCTCATTTTATGACCTCTTAGTGAATTGATTTTCTGCCTAGTACCAGAAAGGATGGCTTCTCCTTATGTCAAACACCGTCAGTGTTAAAGTTATATGCTCTCCATACTGCTCCCTTTCCTACCTTTTCATTAATGCTCTACACACTGTTGATTGTTTTACTTTGAATTTTCTTAGAATTACTAGAGCAGAATATTACATTATTTTGTACGAGGTAGATTCGGAAAGCTTTTTTCTGAGGTCATTTTTGCTGTTGGCAGGTGTTACTGTCACAGTGAATCTGTCTCTTTCAAAATGATTTCTTATTTCAAAGTGTATCCCTCCATATGTTGTTGGAATACGTTTCCCAGCAGCCCTGTTATTTATTTATTTATTTATGATATTTCTATCCCGTCTTTCTCAGCCTGAGGGCGCCTTACAAATTGGCAGCAATTTGATGCCATAATAGTAATAAAATACAATTAAAAACATTTAAAACAACATTATAAAAATCCATACAAACCCATTAAAAACATATAATCACCAATGTCTTCCTGTTAATCTCATTTTCCGGTAGCACTGTCTAAGCCATTCCGTGTTTCACTCTTTCATAGTTCCATGTTTATCTGTTACGCTGCATTTCTAAAGACTTGTTCAAAGAGCCAGGTTTGACTTTTTTCCAGAAAGTCAGGAGGGAGAGGGCTGATCTAATATCCCTAGGGAGGGAGTTCTACAGCCGAGGGACCACCACTGAGAAGGCCCAGTCTCTCGTCCCTACTAGTCACACCTGCAAAGAAGACAGGATCGAGAGCAGGGCCTCCCCAGATGACCCTAGCCTGCAAAGCTAGTGGTGTGGAGTGTTGAGAGTTGCAACCCTCCATCTTGTTCTTCCCTGCTTTGACTAATCAGGATTTGAACTCTTAAGTAACACTCTCTTCTCCTTACAGTGCAATAGAGTACCAGATGAGAGGAGATACCTACTACCTTTGAAGAGTGTTTATATGAGACAGATTGATCAGATGGTGGGCTTGATCTGAACAGCTTTTCGTATGGAGGAATCCTTAAAATGCATGGTAACAACCTGTTCTGACAACAAGGACCGTCTTGATCTTTCCTAGCTTATAGGAGGTGCTGGGATTCAGTAACCACTTACTCAGATGAAAGACTTAGTTTCGTTCTGCGAGGGGGACCCTGTGATAGACTACCAGTTCTCATAACTGAAATACAGTGTAAAGTGGCACATCATGTGAGCCAAATTCTCATGTGTGAAACTTCAAGGTTTGTATTGCTGATAAAGACTTCGGTAGTCTAAAATTTATTTTTAAGAATGAGAACAAGTGGCTTGCTCCAGGAATCCTGCTTTGCTTTCACCTCTTGCATTGTGAATGAGAGTGTTTGGAGAGAACCTACAAGTTTAATTACATTTCTTTAAAAATGGTATGTAGGAAGGAAAAGGGAACGTGCAATGTCTCTCACTGAGCTTAAATGGCCTGCTTCACTCGCAATAAAACAATACAAATTATTGCTCAGGTAGGAAAATATCCATAGGTTATGGTTTACTTACAATGTGTTGCTGAAAGTGTCATAATTGAAGAGCTTGTAATGCCATCCAAGGCATTGCACTACTGTGTTCAGGACTAACGTTGAGGCTGATTTTTGAAACCGTGTTTTTAATTTGAATTGCACATTCAAGGATATATAGAGGTCTACTAGTTTCTGCAACCAGTAAATTTTTTTAAAGTGCCTTCTAGATGAAAATGCACAAATCCACTCATCTCGCTCAAGGTTGCATGGCTGATTTTGAAGACATTCACCTCATTCTTCTGTTATAGTTTCTTGTTTTTGGTGTCTTTCCAAGAGATCTACCTGAAATATATATTTACATTCCTTGTACTTCTCATATGCAAACTTATGGAGTTAGTGCCTTTATACTTTTGTCACCTAGAATGGAGCCAAAGGTTCCAGTTCTTCCTTTTCTGAAAGGCATGGTTAAAAAAACTTTTACGCAGAAGCATTATAAATAATTCACAACTCATGTAGTTTTTAAGGGCTGCATATTCTTTCACACTATTGTGAATTGAGTATTCTTATGACTTGAAACCACTCCCATGGACAAGTATTTTTATAGTGTCTTTGGAGAAGACCTGCTCTTCAAATATAGTCTAACCAGAATGTTCATGTATATTGAGCGGATATTTGAGTGCATCATTTGAGGCCCTTGTACAAAACAACCCTAAATAGCTGTTTAAACCCCATTTCTCCTAATTTCTCCCAGTAGCAGGGTGGATATGAAGTAGAATCTGCCTGCCTTCTTAATGGATCACAAAAGATTAGTTATCCAGCAATAGATTATTTTAATTTTTGTTTTAAATCTCACAAATGCAAAGCATATTCTACTTTAGGAAAAGTGAGGCACAACTTAGTTGACATCTTGAATTATAATGTGTAGATACCTATTTTATGACTACATTATCCGGTCTGGTTGTTCATAAAGCTGGTTTCATGGAGCACATTTTAGGTTTACTTCACCATATTTATCACTGAAACGATTAGGGCTTGCTTAATCTCTTTGGCAAACAAATAAACAAAAAAATCTCAGGGATATCACAGTAGGCTTCTGTTTGCCTGGCAGATTTTGTGTTTTGACTTTCAGCGTTTGTTTTCATACTGTTTTCATTTCTTTGAAAGTTAACATATTAGAATTCCCAGAATATAAAATTCTGTTCAAAGAAAACAGCCCCATTCTATTTCTATATTGCTGCCCAGATTTTAATTGTCTTCTCCCATGCTACCCTCTCATTACTGATTTGGAAACCAAACAAAATATGTGGAGTGGTACATCTCAAAGCTGTTGGGGCCATGCAGGTAATTAAAATTGTTGGGGTAAAATGAGTGTTTCTGGATAAACATGTCTACTAAAAGATGAACATACTCATAGTAACTCAATTCCTTCAGGAAGGAAAAACAAAGCAAAAGAACTCGACACTTCAGAAGCACTTTGGATGGGCGTTTTGTCTTTTTTGCACAAAACTTTGACTGTGACCCATAGAGCTTTTAACGTTCATGTGAAGTGCTTTACTAACCTAGTGGATTTTTAAAAAATTCTTCATCATGGCCTCATGAAAACTAATTTATTTTTTAAATAGAAGAATTTCAAGTACAATTTGCCATTTATATGTGGAGAAGCTCTTAATGCTTATGTAGGTTTGATGAGTTCATTTGATAGTTCTCTGGATCCTGGCCCCAGTCAACTTTCACTGTAAAGAGAAATGCAAACCAAAGCTGTTGAGTTCACTATTTTTGTAATCATGTTGTCGAAAGAGGCATGCTTCCGCAAGGTGTGTGTACCATAATGGGTCCTGGTGGGTGTTTTCTCTTCTCAGCGTATTGCCATATCAACACTTCTGACAATGTCATTCCTTAGCAGATTGCATGTCTTGCTTCTTAGCAAGTTGTTTCCCTACCAACTGTTGAGTGATCAAATGATTTCTTTCAAGCTCGCTCCTTTTGCCAAGTGAAACATTGGAGATGTTGGTTTTCAAAAGAAGTAAATGTCTTTTTGTTTAATCAGGATACTAGTGTTCTAAACTCTGCATTTTCTGTGCACCTGAATAATAAGTGTACTTCCAGTAGATATAACATAGTCCCTTCTGTGTTGATTTGCCCATCATTTTACTTCTGCTTTGGTACAGATCAAAAAACACATTGTAGAGATTGTATTTTCCTGAGACTCCTGTCCAGGGTCACCCATGGGTGCTAATCCTTGCTGTGATCACTCCATATTGACTTAATTGCACTATTTGTGGTTTTATGAGAAGATCAAATTATCAACTTGACATTTCCAGTTTCTCTTACATGGATGTTTGTAAAAAAATGCTCATCTGTAAAATATCCTTTTTAGTTTATAAAAGAGGACTACTCTGTTTTCTTGTGAAATTAAGTGTTAAGGCAAAGTCTAAAACATTGCTGGATACTTGCCAATATATGCAGATTAAATTCTGATCATAATGTGCAATATGTATTTTCCTAGCCTAACATGGCATTGTTACAAAACATATTTAATAAAATAATTGAGTTAAAGTTTATAAAGAACGCAATGTTTTGAGCAATGTAAAGATTTAAAAATGAACAGATTTTACATATAATTTGTATTAAAGCACTATTTCTTAACACCTTTGTGTTTGTCTTCTCTGGATTCTTAAAACAAATGCAGCATGTTTGGGTAGCCTAGGAGGGATAGTTCAGGCTGTGACTAATTTAGTAACTAAAATGTTACCCTTTACTTTAGCACTACTCAAAGTGTTGGTCCCTGGACTGGCACAGGTCTCTATAAACCATTTGCTGCCACTCCTTGGTAAGTTTGCAGACAAGAATCAAGTGTTCTCAATGAACACACATTTTCTTGTGTTGGGTGAGGGACATCCTGACTGTGGATTATGCCCAGCTCTTTCTCAGTAGGCAGGAACCAATTAAGCCTTTTGGGATAGCCCCATAGGTGCAGACACTTTTCCTCTATGGCCAGTCTGTGCTCCTGCCTTATCTTTGTGTGTGTGTGTGTGTGTGTGTGTGTGTGTGTGTTTCCTTTGCTCTGCTCCGGTCTTCATCTTTTTTTCTATCTTCGTCTTGTCTCTTCCTAATTTAAGAAACACACAGAACCCCCTAGGACCTTGTTAGGATTGTATGTTCTTAGTCCAGATCTCCCTCCCTCTTATCTCCCCTTCTTCTCTCCCTTTGTTCTCCCCCCCCCCCTTTGCTGTATTTCACATGGCCAGAGTGACTGGGAAGGGGGGGGGGCAATGCAAACTTGTACACCAGTCGGAGAGGCAAGCTCCAGCAGCACCAGGGAAATGGTGGGTGCTACATGATACTCGCTTGGTCAAGTAATGTTGAAAGGAAGGAACAAGGGAAGGGGGCATGCTAGAGTCCCATAGTGAGGGGGCATCCCTTCAAGCAGCGGAACCAGGTGTGGAAAGGAACAGGTTTGGAGCAGGATCAGAAGACATCCAATCTATATCTGAGAGGTGTATTATGAACTTTGGTAAAGCATAAATGCCTTCCCTACAGATTTCATGGTATGACTAAGGATGTGGTTTCCCAGGAGGCCTCGACTTGCTTGGCTGTGTTACTGAACCCAGTCAATGCTACAAGTCTTGACATAGCATGACCTTAGAGCAGGCAAGGGCAAACGTTGGCCCGCTGGATGTTTTGGAAATCTCAGCCAATTTACTGGCTGTTAGGAATTGTGGGAGCTGCAAAACACCTGGAGGGCTGAAGTTTGCCCTTGCCTGTCTTGGAGGCTGTCAGAACCCCTGGGGGGAGGTTTTCCTATGGCTCTGCAATTTCTGTGGATGCCATTTCCTTCTCCCAGCTAATCAAGGGGCTGCTGGTGAACCTGGGACAGAGCATGTGGGCCTCTTGCAACTGTAGAAAACCACAAGTGGTGGAATCAGAGGCCCACCATCACATTGCCAAGGAAGCACCCAGCAAAGGCAGAATATTAGCACTAGTGTCTGCAGACCTAGATCTAATGAACTAACACTGGGCTGCCTATGATCCAAGAGGTTTAGAGGAGAAGCAGTGGACGAAGAGAACACCCACATAATTGACAGGAATTACAGAGTGGAGGACTTGGAGGGCATCTACTCTGATTCTGAGGAAGAAGAATTATCCTCTGATGAGAATATAGGCTCGTTCAACTGGAAACTTTCATAGATTTTATTGAAGAAGGCAATCAATATATGTGGCCAGGTTCCTGAACCCCAGGACCCCGACTTTCCTTAATGCAATGGGGAATGACTTCCTAGAGCTGACATCCTATTCCCAACAAAATGTATGGCCAGAGTATGAGGAATGGAGCAAGCCAGTAGCCATCAGGCCTGTTCCCATGGGCATAAAGATGTCCTGTATGTTGTCTAACAATGATATTAACAGGCTTCAGGTCCCAGTAGTCTCTTCTGACCAGAGTATTAAGGCATCACATAACTGACCTTTTAATGAAGGTGGCCCTCCCTATGGGATAGATCCAAAAGTTTTAGTTGTGCCTTCCTATAGAGATGGTGTGTAACATACCCCACAGTTAGGATGTTCATTGTCTATATGTAAAATGATAGTTTCACAGGTGAGTATAATTGGTTCTTTTAGTGCTAGTCCCTGGCATTTTGGAAAAATAATTGCCAGTCCACCACAATTAATGGTCTTCATGTGTGTCTCCAGTCATAACATCTGCATCGATTGATTTAGCTTTATTTCATTGAGGTTTCTGTCACCACAAACAACACTAAAGGTGTGTTGCTCAGATCAGTTAATATGAAAGCCTGTTGTCTGTCTGATGTTCCAGACTGGCAGTATAAAACCTCAAAATACAGTTGCTACTGCTAGATGCTGAGGAGCAAACGGCAGGGACAGCCCAACTATGCCACATTTGCCAACAGAAATTTACCACTTAATGGAATAAATTCTTTTGCAGCCCTCCTCTTCCCATGTCTTTGTCAGAGATTTAGGAGATCCTAGAGAGGAAAAGACGGGGAAGGAAGGTCCCATTGCATTAGCAGAAATCCACCTGTGTTAGGATTATCCTTTTGCTTTTTACTGTTTGGACGATGTGATTTCATTCCAGAAGAGGGCACTGTGGGAACATTGATGATTTTTTAAATTTATACTGAAAAGGGAGCAAAGTATATTTATATAATATTTTCTATTGTTTGATTTTGCATAAAATTCTTATTTTTCAGAGGCTTTTCTTTCATTTCAGTTTAGTTTGGAACATTTGTAGAATATTGTAAGGTAGATGAAGTACAGTCCCTGAGTTACAAATATCTAACTTACAAACAACCCATAGTTAAGAACAGAGGCGAGACAACAGGAAGTAAGAGAAACCTATCCCTAGGAAGGGAAATTGACTCCTGGGAGAGTTATAATGGGGAAAAGGTGTCTCCACTGAAACATTATCACAAATCCTTGTTTCCACAACAAGCCAATTTTTTTTCAAAATCCAATGATCACAGGGAAAAGAGTGAGGTGAAATCTTCTGAACAGCCACACAGACAGAAAAACAAACACAAGGGTGTTAACCCTTCCCTATGGCATCCAAAGCTTTTATATATGGCTGGGGTTACACTTCAAAAATGGACCTGATCTGACTTACATACAAATTCCACTTAAGGATAAACCTACAGAACTTTTCTTGTTTGTAATTTGGGGACTGCCTGTACTGTATTTCATCGATGCTAAGATGCCATAGATTCTAAGATGCACCCTGATTTTGAGCTTTGATTCTAAGAAAAAATACATTTCTTAAAATATCCTTTTGCATTTCTAAAGAGAGTTCTGGCTAGAAGTTCTGCTGGGTGATGACGGGGATCAAGGGGACGTAGAAAGTGACTATTATTTTAGCTCCCCACCGTGTGCCTGTCCTCACCCCACTTTACCATCTTGGCTTTGCTGCACAAGATGTGTTCTGACCAGCTGTGGAAAGCCTCCCCAACCTCCCACTCGATGTTGGTGCCCTGCCTTTGAGTGATTTGCTCTTTTTTAGTCCCTAAAAATGAGCTACTGTTGCATTTCATGCTCCCACTGCTGGCTTGGCTGATGCATACAGCTTCTCTCCAGGCTGCTGCTCCTTATTACTGCTGCCAACTACTTTCCATTGCCACTTCTGGCCACATGGCTTCTTTTTGTCTTTAGGCTGCAGCAGATGCTTCTCATCTGCTGCTGCTGTTGGTGCCTCCTCCACTTTTGACAGCCACCTCTTGCTCTATTCTCCCATAACTTCATCTCCTGCCACCACTTCTGCGATTCTAAAGTGCATCTCACAGTTCGGGCCCTGCCTGTCATCTTGATTGCATCTCCTCCTATGAACCAGCGTGGGCTCTAAGATCTGCCAGGGAAGCCCTTCTCTCACTTCCACCACCGTCACAAGCACGGCTGGTGAGGTCAAGGGAGAGGGCCTTCTTGTTGGTGGCCCCCCGACTTTGGCATTCCCTCTCCAGGGAGATTAGGCAGGCTCCCATACTGTCCTTCTTCTGTAGGGACTTGAAAACATGGATGTTCCAGCAAGTTTTTGAGAATGATTTGTCTCTAGGCCCAGTTCCCAGGTAATCATATAGTACTCTGTCCTGTAATTCACCCACTTTCCCAGCCCTGTGATTTGCTGTTTGCACTATCCCATGCCCAGCCATTTTATAGTTGGCCCACATCCATTTAGTAACCATGGTCATTCGTTTTGTTCAACCTCTACTGATGGAGCTACAATGAAATGGGTTTTTAATATTTCATCTTTAATGTGTTTTAATAGATTTTTTTAAAAATTGTATGATGTTTTCAGTTGTTATTTTGCTTATTAGTTTAATTCAGTTGTGTTATATTGTTGAATGTGTTTATTTTGGTGTAATTTTTGTATTGTTTCTTTCCGGCAATTAAATGTTTGCCTTACATCTTGGGAACCACCCTGAGCCCCTTTGGGGAGATAGGATGGTACACAAATATAGCTTTATTTATTTATATTATTTTAAAATATGTTCATATGGGGAAATGTGTGTCTTAGAATTTAAAAAACCACAGTGAATTCAAAATCTGTATACTAAAATACTGTATGCTAAAATACTAAAAAACCCCACAGTGAATTCAAATTCTCGGCGGTGCCCCCCCAGACTTTGGAACTCTCTCCCCAGGGAGATTAGATAGGCTCCCACACTGTCCTCCTTCTGTAGGGATTTGAAAACCCAGATGTTCCAGCAAGTTTTTAAGAATGATTTGTCCCTAGGCCCACATGGACGGGGACTGGACCATATGGCCTTTGAAGTCTCATCCTACTCTGTGATGAAAGGGTGGTTATGGAGAAAAAGCTATTGCTGTTGTATGTGAAAGCAACTCAGAGATAAATCAATGCAGGTTTCTGAAGGAAAGAAAACTCAACTGGGTTAGTGATTGTTCTGTGTTTTCAGGTACAAAACATCCCTTTTCCTAATTGCCAGTATCTTTGGAACACAGCTTCTAATCAGCAGTGGAAGACTATTGAACTAAAGTGGGTCCCATCAAGCTATTCTATCAAGCCTTTGTCCCATTCAGTAAATGCTGAACCTTTTGCTGAACAGGGTTAGCACAGACCAAAGGACAAACCATTTCACAACATTAATGCAGCAAATTAACTTCCACAAGAAGAATGAATTAAT